TCTGAGTGCTTCTGCAACCTGAACCAAAAACCTGCTGTGGGAATGCAGACTTACCATAGAGCTGTGGAAGAATACTTCAATCGTGTCACTCCTCTCAGTCTTCAGAGCAGTCAACATGATTTTGATGTAGGTTTTAGATTATGTATATATAAATATGATTGAAGTACCAACAGCAAAGCATAAATAAAATGTGGACTTAACTGAAGAATGGGCCAGTGGAGGACTCTTGTGTTGAATTTATTAAAATACGATACAATAAGGTTGTTGATGGAAGAGACTTGCTGTGATGGAAGACAGGGAAGTAAAGCTGGGGTGTCCTCCATGGGGGAAAGTAGCCAGGTTCACTGTTGCCTTTGAATCTATTACAGCACACAAGGACCAACTTGACTGTGCTGCAGTTGCTGGAGAAGTGCTGGCTGCATGGAAACGTTCCTGGGGATCACTCCACCTTCATGCTTATTGAGGGCCAAAGGCTTCTCTAAATTGCACTTGCCTCTCCTCGGTATTGAGTGATTATTCCAGGGACAGGTGTCCTTTCACATTCCCAGTTGTCAAAATCCAGACCAGGTAGCTGCTGTTACCTGTGTTTCCCTAACATGCCAATGACCCAGTGGCTTTGCCCTACCAGAGCAAGGGCCATCATGTAAAAGGAATTTGAAGTGGGTAAAATGGGGAGCTTATGGAAACCTCTGTTTTGCTGTTTGCTCTTGGCACTGGCTTTGAAGACATGTAAATTAAAATATGAAACAATGGCAAATCACTGGGAATTTGTAGTACTAACATTAACTAAAAAACAATTTAAACAAGACATCCATGGAGGCAAGTAACACATGAGTTCATTGTAGCTCTGTTCATTTGATATAACCCACCTGAGCGGATGTGCTTGTGAATTCTCTGGACATTGACATGTTAGCAAAAATAAGAAATCAAGGTTAATTTTGGATGTATCCCAATAGATCATTACCAGGTATAAACTATGGTTTAGCAGGGTTCCTATAAACTGTGAGAAGAAAGCTTTTAATGGAGACAGCAAAAATGTAAAGCAACTCCCACAAGTGTGTTCTCACACTTCTCTGAGACTTCATTATGCCACAGGACAAACAAACAAAAAATTTACTTCCATGGAGGCTCTGAAATATTTACTGATTTATAGATCACCCAACTCCTGAAAAGTTTTAGAATTTGGGCTCCTGTAGTTTTTATATTAGCTGAAAACATGGCCTAAAGCATGTCTCTTAGTTTTGATACCTACCTCATAACTCAAACAGTGAGTGTTATAATTTTGTTGCTGAAGCTGGTTTTTGGAAAAAAGCCTCTGGATGGATTTGCTCTGACCTTTTTCTACATAACAGTTTCATTGCATCTCCTTTCCTGCACTGGTGTGTAGCAGACTGTGGGTCCTCCAAAAATGCCCCTTCCCCCCCCCTCTTCTGATTTATCAAGGGTGGGCAGTTCATTTGTGGGCACACCAGTAGGACTGGGAGGCAGTGATGATATGGAAAGCAGTGGAGAGGTGGTCCTCGCCCATCTCTGGATGCAGTCTTGCTTCTGGCATGTGTTTCAGCACAAGTCAGAACTGTGTGGTGTCTGTGCAACAGCCATCAGGCTGCTGAGATACCGGTGGCACCACAGATAGGAAAGGGCTAATAATGTTAATGAAAGTGTTGGATGACGATGAAAGAATTTGTGATACATGTTGATGTTTGGGTAGGACTTGGCATTTCTCGATATACCCTTGAGAAAGTATAAAGAAAATGCATTTGGGTTTTTTCAGGTGGCAATATGAAGCCCTTCTAAAGGAAGACTTTTTAGTGTTTCACTGATAGGTGTCTGTCTGTTAGCAAATAAAGCCTTATACTGGAAATAGCCACTGAAATTCCTGCATGAACACTTAACATATTTCTTTAAAACAGAATTCTCTTCAGTTCAAGATTTCCAGTTTCCTTGTAGCCGTGCTAATCTTTACACAAAATCTCTTTAATTTACTAATAAGGATGGCTGTGGTTTTGGTAGTTTGACTGTATGTACAGTAGCTCGTGTTCTCTGTGTAGCATTAGGGATAGGAATTGAGACATTCATCCATGAAGTAAGTATCCTGGATATAAAATATGTAAGCAAATCAACAGTGTAGTCTATGATGCTGATACAAGAACTGCTGGTTTCAGCAAGAGGTTGCTGAATACAATGTACATTAAAATACAGTTACTAGGAGTGACTATAAAAGCATATGATGTTACATGGGTAGGAGAAGCACAAGACCATTCAAGGCTGCCCCTGTGTTTTCTGCTGAACGTGGTTTGCATTTGTTTTGCTCACTGCAATTCAAAAATGTTTCTGTATTAAAGCTTCTTCAGTCAAGCTAAGAGCACAGAAGTCCAGCCACTTCACCACCAGGCCTGCGGTTGTTCCTCCTGCTGTTTGTGGTCAGCAACTTCCCAACAGCATGGGGGGGTTTAGAGCCGGGGTGGAGGGACCACCCTGTTGGCTGCTGGGGGGGGAACTGGGACCTCAGTCAGATGCAGGGAAATGGGGCAGAAGGGGAGGCTTCAGCTTTAACTTCTATTAGTACTGTATGGCTTCAGCAGTGCCCGAGTTCTGTAACAGGAGTGCAGCTGAGTTAGATGCATGCTGTGTAATGGAAGCAATACCAGCAAGGGGGGGAAATAAAGGGGGGCTATTTTCAGTTTACTTCACTGTATGGTAAATCCCTCCCCTTCATATCCCAGGCCCAGCCATAGCTCATGGTTAAATATATCAGATCCTGGTGACAGAGTGTCCTTGATTTATCAGTTGTCTGAATACTGTCCTGCTTGATACCGCTGTGTGTTTGCACCACATTTGTCTTGGTTTAAAGTAGTTATCCTGCATGGAGGATCAATTACACCACTGTCGCCACTGATACTGTGGGCAGGTGCTGGTGAAGTCCCAGACTGGACTCAGTAGCAGATGGGAGCTGGATTTAAGAGCTGGATTCAAGAACACACAGATGGGGATCAAAGGGAGAACACACAGAGTACTCCTCAGATGCTGGCCCTTGAAGAAGAGAGTTTGACCCTCATGATCCCTCAGCTTTATACTGAATATGACGAATATGGGATGGAATACTTTGTTGGTTGCCTCCAGGTCACCTGTCCTGGCTGCTCCTTCCCACGGGTGTGGCCTTTTACTTTCTACATGCCCAACATGCTGCACAAGATTTAGCAGTGACCTTGGTCTGCACACCAGTCCTTGGTGGTAACTCTAAACACGGAGCGTTATCACTGCTAGAAGCAGACGCTGTCTGCAAAAATCTGCTGTTAAATCCAGAAAGTGCAGTTGGTTAGAAGAGACTGAGCTGAAAAGTAAAATCATTGCATAGAATTAGTTCCATTCTAACCGAAACCAGGACAGGGCTTTATAAACAGAAACAAAACTTGTCATTGCTTTTTAGATTTTTTTTGCCAGATGTGATCTGGTACCTTTCTTCAAGGTCTGTGGTGGTTGTTTTTTCTTTTAATCACCTCCTTCCACATGTGTGGCCAGCTTGAGTGTTATTTTCATGGGTGAAGAACATAACTTTTATTTTTGCTTTGGATTCTACAGGATTTCTACCAATATAGTCATGCTCATACCTGGAGGTCTGGCATAGGTATTTCAGGATCAGTGGCGTTGTTTTGATTGCTGTGTGCGACCTACCCTGCACCTTCAGAGAAACAATCTTTTGCTCTAAAGAGCAAATATGCTTTTGCATTCCACATACCTCGTCACATCTGCCAAAGGATCGTTGCTTTATGATGAACACCCAGCCCACAGACAAACCCAGACCAGCACTTGCAGTGGCAGGGGAGTCAACCACAAGAGAGAGAAGGATGTGGCTGGAGGCCACCCAACAGGTGGCTGGGATTGGGCACTGCGCTGGTGCCGCAGTGGGCAGGGAGCACCTTTGGATGTCAAGCTTGTTCTCCAGGGAGCCCCAGGTACCCCCCATCCCACACCCCCAAAGGGAGGCCCCCAGGAAGAGCTCCAGCACACGCACCCAGGCTCAGCAGCACAGGTCGCGGCTGAGCTGCAGAGCAAGTGGGGCTGCTGCCATGCTGCGTGTCTCCAGCAAAACCAGAGGTGCTGCAGAACACCAACAGGAGTCCTTGCTTTAGCCATGCTCAGAAGTGAAGCTGAGCTCCAGCTGCTTTAACAGCCTTTTCTTTTTTCCCCCCCTCCAAAGGCCATGAATGAAGCCATTTTTCCAGGAAAGCCACAACTCTCATCCCATTCCCCAGCCCTCCAAAAAGTCAGCTTCTCAGAGGACAGCTGTCCGTATGAGAGCGCAGCTTCCTCCTGTGAAGCCGCAGCCCCCCTCCCTGTGTCACTGCAGCACCGCGGGACAGCCACGCAGGAAACGCTGGGCCCCGCTCTGCTTAGCAGCCTGCAAAGGAGGGGACTTTGGAGCCCTTTGCCCTTTCCAAAGGCTGAGGAGTGAAGGTTGCACAGCACTTCCAACTTTTGAGTTTGTGCTCAGAGGGAACTACCTTTGATTCAGCTGAAGGTCAATGGCTCAGAAAGGAGGCCCCAACTTGACAGTAACCATAGCCGAAAACACTTCCTCTGTAAGGACTTCCACTACTCAGAAGCCTTTCCTCCAAAGAAACACAGCAGATAAAAATAGAAAACCATTTTATGTGAACTTGGGAAACCAAGCACCCTTTAACCATTTCAGGTAGATTCCCGAGTTCAACCAAGTATCCCAAAGGTTTACATGGGACCATCCTGCACGGCATTGTCAGGCCTATGCCACCCTGCAGCACCCCCCCGGGCACAAGAGCAGCCACCAGGCACTGCACAGCGGGCGCTGCAGCCCCAGCACCCGCTCACCCACCCCGAGCACTACCCGGAACAGCTCCTGCCGTGCAAGGCAGCAGAAAAACCCCCGCCTCCGCTCACAGCCTCCCCTCTTGAAGGGGAGTATCGTTCCTATTTCAGACCCAATGCAGCAACAGATTAACTTGAGCTTCACACAAGTCACATTTTAAAAATTTATTCAGTAAACTCTGTGCTGGGTCTTTAGTTCTCCTTCTCCTGCACAGTCTTTGTTCCACGCAGCCTACCCGTACGACGGGCAGCAATGAGACCAACTTTGCGCCCAGCAGGAGCATCTCTCCTGATGGTTGAAGGCTTCCCAATGTGCTGATGGTTACCACCACCAAAGGGATGTTCTACAGGCTGTGGAGAAGGAAAGCAAGTTGTCAATATCATCATCATTACTCATTTATGTCACCAGTTGAAAGCAATAAAGTGGACATTTAACTGCTTCATTAGTTCATTCAGTGCAGTAATTACCAAGCGCTGATAGCTGCCCTAATTAAATGTGCGATCACAGGTCACCTGTGAAGTTTTCCTTCAAGATATATGCCAGATTCCTCCCCATACCAAACAAATCCTTCCTAAACCATAAAAAAGTGAAAGCTCTAAGTGAAGTAAGACTCACGTTCATGGCCACACCACGGACACGTGGCCAGCAGTTTCTCTTTGCCTTGTACTTGTGATAGGCTCGGCCAGCCTTCAGGATGGGCTTGTCAATACGACCTCCACCAGCAACAATTCCTGGAAAAAATGGCAGGGATGAGAACGTGCAAATGTAACAGTGCAAAACAAAGTGTTTAAGCACAAGGCCAACTCCTAACTATATCTAAGTGAATAAGTTGCAGTTAAATAAAAGTAAATAATAATTTAAGTTCTATAATACTAAGTTCTGAGAACAGGCTTCTAAAGCCCAATCTCAAACAATCCCAGCTGTGCATTCCAGCTGTTCTTTTCCAGCCAGCCGTGTTTGGGAGCTTGCTCAGCAGCGTGTCAGCTTGGTGACGAAGACATGCTCATAGTTGACGCTCCTTACCAACAACAGCTCTGTTTGCAGAAGAAATCACTTTCTTGGAGCCAGAAGGCAGCTTCACTCTGGTTTTCTTTGTTTCAGGGTTATGAGAGATAACAGTGGCGTAGTTTCCAGAAGCACGGGCCAGCTTTCCACGGTCACCAGGCTTCTCCTCGAGGCAGCACACAATGGTGCCTTCCGGCATGGTGCCAACAGGCAGAACATTGCCAATGTTCAGCTGAGCTGTGAAGAGCAAACACAGCACCAAGAGCTTCATTTGGGCTCCTGGACTTGAGCTACAGTTCTAATGAATGTGGCCCTCTGGGTGTAGAAGGGCATCACGTCAACCCTTCAGCAGCACTCGGCAGTGGGACACTTCTTCACCGTTTGACTTGAAACCCAAGCTCCATGTTCAGCCTAACAGGAAGGCAGGCAACGGGGCTCTGGACAAAAGCACCCAAATGCTTGACAGAGCCTGCGGCTGGGCTTGGCTGTCAAAACGGGCTGCCTAAGATGGCAGCCCCCGAGATCCCCCGGGTTTGCACAGAGCTGCCGCAGGCTACTGCTCCGTGACGGCTCCCAGCTGCACTCCAACACCCCCAGCTTCCCCTCCTCGGCCACCCCCTGGACAAGCCACCCCGGGCCCCCCTCACCCTTCTTGCCACAGTAGACGAACTGGCCGGTGTGGATGCCCTCGGCGGCGATGAAGAGCTCCGTCCTCTTCTTGAAGCGGTAGGGGTCACGGAAGGCGATCTTGGCCAGGGGAGCCCCGCGCCCCGGGTCGTGGATGATGTCCTGCGGGAACGCAGGCGCGCTTTAGCTCGGCCAGCGGCACCTGCCACAGGCTCTGCAGGACCCAGGAACTAGGGAAACTGGGGACGGTCACTGCTGAGACAGCCCTCACCACCAACCCCTTTCCCAGAGGGGTTTCGGCTTCTCCCGATGTGAGCACACTGAAGAGTAACATTTGTAAGAATACAGTCTCACCTATCTACAGCACAAAATAACGACTCTGGTTCAAATGTACTGCTTGAAATTAATGGTTTGAACTGCTGTATTCCTGGCATCACGCAGACACAGGTCTCTCCAAAGACAGTCCCTTTTACTCACTGCCCAGCACGTCTAGGCAGAGACAAAGTTGGACATGAGCAGCAACTTCCCCAATTGTTTTCTCACAAGTTTCTCTAACCTTCTAGTATTAAGATTTATATTATTTGTATCAATTATACACTGAAATAATACTAGCCCCTAAATGAGGAAGCACAGACTTACTGTTTCTTCTGCTCTTGGAAAAATACATCAACTGTGCTCCTGAAATACACTGAGATTCCAGCACACAACCATCTACTTACAGCTCTTTAAGATATATCTGTTTCCTAGGAAAACTCAGATGTTGCTGGTGTCCAGCAATAACATTTTTTCCTGCTGTTTTCAACCCTGCTGGGCAAGACCCATCACATATTACAGAATTTTAAGAAGACAGGTCATTCTACAGCCTAAAGACAAGCTTACTCTAAAAGGCTGAAGACATTCAGGTAATCTAAATGGGTACCCACTGGCAACATTTGCAGTCTAAGGTACTGACACCCAAAAAACACCTACAGCACAACTGAAACACTGTCACCACAGCCCAAGCAAAAGTACTGCCTTGCCCCACCACTCAGAACTGAGATGATGGGTTCTACTCAAGTGTTTGTGAAGACCAATTTCTTTTTTTTTTTTTAAATATGCCATCAACTGCGCAGACAACTCCCCCCAGCCATGTTTCATGAGGTATCTGGAGTTCTCAGGCAATATAAAAGCACACTGATATCGCTACATTAGCAAAGCCCTAGCAGAACATCACACTGCTGTCTGTGTGCTTCCAGCCCCCTTATTTCAGCACTGCTGTAAATGCAAAGCAGTTCAACGTTCCAAGGAGTAGAACTTATTGAACAGAAGACGTGAAGTCTGAACAGGGAGCAGCCGAGCAGCTCGCAGCACAGCTGGCGGGACGCCAGACCCCGCACAGCCGTGAGGTGAGCCAGGCGGG